CTACATTTGTTATAAACACCATTTAATTTTTGTTTGTTCTTTCCGACCACTTGTTCCGCACAATTTATTTGTCTCGCATGAACTATATTTATTCCGTTTGATCCACCTAATTTATTCATCCCACACCGTACGATTTGTCGTCATCCATTCAAAGCCTAAATATCAAAAAGCTCATTCTATCTCAAAAAAAATATCAGGTTCAAAACGCGTCAATGTTACCAACATGTCTCTTTAAATCCTAAAAATTTTCACACTTAAATTAACGAAGAAAAAAGAGATGTCATCTAGAGAAACTTTAATGTATGATTTTTTTCTTTTTGGTAAAACTTAATGTATGAATTTTGTTTTTGAGGAATTGTTTTTTTTTCTGTTCTTGTGTTGGAGTGAATAGAAAAGATTACTTGTGGGATTTTTGCTAAAGAAAAGAAACAAATGAGTATTACTAAAGTAACTAATGTGTTCTCAAAGTGACCAAACCATAACTCCAGATGTGAGGTAGTATTGCGAGTATCTGTTGCTTGAGATGTTGATATGATGTGAGGTAGAATAAGTGCATAACCTACGAACATACCATCTGACCAATTTTTTTCTAAGAAAAAAACTACGTACCAATTGGCTATTTTACTATCTTTTTTTTTGTTAAAGTTATTTTACTATCTCTATATATATATGTAGTCGAACTATTTTGACTACAGTACCAATATAAAATTTCACCTATACTGATATACATATATATCCGAAGAATTAAAGTTCTAGTGAGATATATTGGGCAAAAAATTGACTGATGTTGGAGTAGATTAACAAGAAGAAAATAAAAATGTTCCAAAAAAGAGTGAAAAAAAAACTTAAGTTAAATCAAAAAGAGTTTTCTTTTTCCATTGTAGAGAATGTGATTGCAAGAACAAATGTGCACTGAATGATCTGATTGTATTCAATAGAGGTCCAATGCCTTTTGTAGGTTTACACGAAGCAAATAACTGAAACAAAATAATGGACACGAGCCAACTAGCTCTACTAACTCCTAATAAAACGGAAACAGACTTGACCAAGTAAAACTAATGAGACGTGGTCTCTTGTTGCTAAACAAACGGAAACAGAATTAACAGACTGAAGAAACAGAGCTAGACTCAACAAACCCTCCCTTGAACTGAACCTTCTCAAGCGATCAGTTCACAATGCTCATCCCAAACTCACCTCGAA